TGCGTATGTGCTTTAAAATAATTTATCCTATACTTACTAGAGTATTAAAAAGTACCTTATTTGTATTATGTATTTAATCTGACCGAATATTACATATTCTAAATTTAAATTATATCCATTTGACTATGAAGCACGATTAAGACTTGAAACGTGTATTAAAAATAAATGTTATTTGTAAAAAAATGGTCAAAAAATGAAATTTGAAATGAGGCTAAGGTTTACTGTAGAAAAATATATATACAATATAAATAAAATATAGAGTGGGTTTGAAAAAATTCAGAAACAGATATGCAAAGGAGGCGATATTTAAGTAATAATATGAAAAGATCAATAATTTACAAAATTTTAGTGAATTCAATTCCGATGGTGCAAGAAGCTTCATACGACAAAAGTATAGGTCCCTATATGTGGCAAAACTAAATAAAAATAATAATAAATTACGGATGCTATAGGTATGGGCTTAAACTCAGAAAATTGTGATAATCTGCCTAATCGGTTGATATTTCGAATTTACAGTACGTATATCTATAGATGGCGGCGAAATTACCTTCTTAATGAAAAATTTTTGTCGAATTTGTTGAAATTATTTGATGTCGAATTGGTGAAATTAGTTTTTAAAATTAAAAATTAATTTAAATTATATTGAAAATTAATAAAACAAAAAATAAATCAAATACAATAGTTTTTTTTTTATATTAATTTATAAAATATTAAAAATGTTGAAATTATTGTTGAAATTAAAAAAAAAATTTAAAAATAAATTTCACCACCATCTATACGTACATCGTTTATTTGTGTTCAAAAACAGTGCACAAAAACTATTGAAGTTTAAAATTTATATTTACAGATTTACTCAGCATTCAAATATCAAACCATTGCTCGAGCAATTTTTAGCGCTCAGTTTTACATCATGAAAATACTAATTTCATTTTACATAATATAGCAATTTCCAATATTTGTTTCATTTTTTCTTGTGCCTATTTTTGTCATTAAATCTTAGAAAATTTATAATTCCAAATATAATTATAATAATATTTATTATTACCATGGTCAAATTGTAGTTTAGAGGCATAAATATTTAATTCTTTTACTAATCCTTCCATTTATATTCAATTAGAGATGGATTTCATGTTTGAAAAGATTAATTTTAAAGAATTTATATTTTTTTAATTTATTCAATTATATTTTCATGTTTTTTTCTGGAATTTTAATGCTCAATTTCAATTTTAGAATGCTTTATCACTATAATAATTTGGAAAGCTATATTAATAACACCAGTATTATATAACACCTTATGCCATATCTAAAAAACGTACTAAGTAAACGGGATCATGTACTCTAAGCAAAAATGTACATGACCTCCAAAAATCTCGCAAGAACTAAAATAGGGACCTTAGTTCTAATATACATTATATTATATAAAAACCTCTTATTCATCTTAAAGCAGCGCACTAACCCTTAATCTAACTCTAATTCAGTTATATAGGTGTTATATAACATGGGTGTTATGAATATAATATTTATAATAATTTGTTTTATACTACTACTTACTCTTAAAGTTACAATAAGCAAGTTTATTGTATAACTATATTACAGCTTTTTGATGTTTTATGTTGGTCTTTTAACACAAATTTCGTTTAGATAACAATATCCAACACTATAAATTCCACTAACATAATCCATGTCAGCAGATTTTGATAATAAATAAATATAATATTTTCGTCTATTTTCAACGCCAATCCCTCTTAGATAACAACATACAACATTAAATATCCCCGTATTGTGATCCGGCTCTGTAGATTTTTGATGATAAATGAATGCTTTATGTTCATATTTTTCAACTCCAATTCCACGATGATAAATTAGTCATTCCGGCAGTGTAACCCATATCAGCAGGTTTTTTATAATAAAGTAAAGCCAATTTTCAAATTTTTTTCATTTTATAAAACCGACACGATTCATGTCTGCAAATTTCTGATAATAAATAAATGATTTGTGTTCACCCTTTTCAACACCAAGTCCCATTCGATAACGACATCCAATCTTAAATACACCGTAACAAAAGCAATTTCAGCAGCCTTTTGATAGTAAGTATATGTTTTAATTTTATCCATTTAACTCCAGTTCCGTATTCATAACAACAGCTAATATTAAATGTTTCATCATATGACCCATATAATTTGCTTTTGATAATGAATAAATACTTTATTTTCATCTTTATTAACAACTATTCCTTTTTCATAACAAACACCAATGCCATGTATTCTTTCAGCAAGTTCCATATCAGCAGACTTTTTATAACAAATAAATGTCTTATGTTCATTCTTTTTATTGTGTATCCAAATACCAATTGATAATATTATCAGGTTCTTTTATATAAAATTTGATCTAATGTGTTAATGACTATATCCTAATCATCACATGCTAAATATTCTTCATTATATTTATTTATAATTCTTTAACAATTTCACTAAAAGAGCTATCATCTTTTAAATCTAATTGGTTAAAATCGTTAATTATTTGGGTAATTGATTTGATGAACTGACTATTTTTTTGAATAATCAGCAGTTAAATTAAAAAATCTATTACGTAGAGTATTATTGTTGCATAAGGTGAAGGGAGGTGATTTGGCTGAGGTGGACAAAGTGGCGGATCAACTTATATTAATTATTCTTATACCATTCAAATTCGTCTCACCAAGACAAACTGATTCTGATCAACGGATTACAAAATAATCACACAAATACCTTTTAACAGGAAGTGAGTAACACTGCAGTCGATTGTCGCATAATAAATCAAAATAAATGTGCCAATTGCACGTTGTTAAATAATAAATAAATAAGTCAAAAATGCTGTAATATTTTGGCTATTTTTATAAAACGTCAATTTCATGTCATTATGATCCTCTTAATCAAAATAACAAAATTTGGATACCTATATCGCATACAAATAATTAGTATCTAATCTTGGACATGTAACGTACAATAAAAATGTGATTTTAAGAGGAAATGTTTATAAAAGGAGCGGTTATATATGGATTGACTTAAGCATTAATAGCATTCATAGTTTTAAATTACTATATGTAAAGGAATAAATTTTATGACTCGATTACATGATTTAAATTATGACAAATTCAAGTTATTTTAATTATGGATTAACGAGTCAATCACTATAATTTGAATAAGATCATTTTATAAAATTCACGCAAAGTACATATGTTATTATCGTGCATTGAAAATATGTAATAGTTGGTCAAATAATGAGTATATTATGTACTGAGAATTCTATATACAAAACATTCAGAAAATATATCATATATTACTCAGTATAAGTATTATTAGAATCATTTCTAGACTTTTAATTGTAAAATATTCGTTATAAAAGACTGGCATCATAATTATTTAATAATTCCTCACTCTTTTCCCAAAACTTTTTAGCCAAATCTTTGTCTAATGCCTGATCGATTGGTTTTGCTTCTTCACATTCCTCAAAATACTTTCCACCTTCATCAATATTCGGGTCTAATGCAGGGTATATTACATTTATTGCACCAATATCAGGTGATTTAGCGAATAGTTTGATAAAAACCAAAACTTCAATTTTGAATTACTGTTTGTTGCTATAATTCCTGGATGGCATGCTGTGGAAGTAACGTCTAATTTTTTTTTTTTTGTAAAATCAATAATAAATTTAAGTCATTATAAAGAAAAAATTTTCAAGATAATTATGAAAAGTTTTAACGTTTATCACATAGCAAAATTATTTAAGTTACTTACTTGAATCTTTAAGGCGATGATTAAGTTCATTACTATATATAATATTCTAAAAAATTTTCATATATAAATGAAATCATAAAAAGAATATACTATGCAAGATCTTAAATATACCAATTATTCACTAACCATTAAC